AAGAAAGAAAGAAAGAAAGAAAGAAAGAAAGAAAGAAAGAAAGAAAGAAAGAAAGAAAGAAAGAAAGAAAGAAAGAAGAGATATCTAAAGATAAGATGATGCAGAAATAGAAAACTGGAGTAATCAAGGGGTTAAAGATACAGTTTACACTTGGGAATTCTCTATAATATGCTCCTCCTCTACTTAGACTGCTGCCAAAAATCATCTGACAGGAAACATAAGATTAAGTTTGTCCTACCTAAGCGAACAAAGAGTGCTCAGAACAGGCAACCAGTTCACTGCAGAGCGGGAACTTTTCTAATCCTGCTGGAATCTGAAATGCTGCTCAGAAAATATTACTGAAGTTGTTTACTTTAACATCTTGCTTCTGGATCATCTCATTCATTTTCATCACACTACAGTTCTTGCTACTTTCCCCATAAAGGTTAACTTAAAGCTCCAAACATAATCATGTGGAAAATGGACATTATTGATTCCTATGGTCCATTGTTCCCCCATTCTAAGTCCCTGAAGTTCAAGTTCAATCTGGAATTACATCATGTCTGGTTTCTCCTGGTTACCAGACGGCTTGAGACGTGACCACAGCTACAGAAAAAACAAACAGGCTTCTTCACGCTTCGGCTCCCCTATCGATTCAAACATAAACTTTTTTTCTTTCTCTCAAGTATGCTTCAAGTATGGAGCATGGTTAATTTAGAGATTAAGTTCCAAATTAGATTATCTAATGGCATCTTAATGGATTGCTGACCCATTTCCTGTGGGATGGCAGCATGCAAGTCTGGCTTGAATACAATTAATTTCTTAGGAAGTGTTCTGAAGATGTTTGCCTAGATGGAGAGGAAACATAATGTTCCGAACATCTTTCTGCATTAAAGAGTTGGGCAAACTATTAGAGTTTGCAGTTTAAATTGATAAAGACCAGCATTCACTAGGTATTCTTTCTATGAGTATTTTTTACAGTCAGAATACTTCAGTGTTTTTCTTCTTAAATTCCAGTGCGTGAATTGAGATTTCTCTTCCAAAATATTGCCCAAGGCAGAAAGGGGAAGGAGAGGTGGGGGGTGGACATGAACTATTGCTCTAGCAGGTGTCTGTCTTCACCAAAATGTGCTTACAAAAGCAATGCTGCTGACTGTGTTACTTTAGCTGTGTTTGCAGGATTCCAAATACACAGAAGATACTATGAGATAAAAGCAATTCATACCCATTCTCATTTGCTTCCCAGCTTCCTCCATTTTTGGCTGCTTTAGCTGCACTACTACCAATAAGCCACGAGTGATCCTGGGAGAAAAGCACTGCCTGAAAAGTGAAGCATTTGAGTACCCTAATAGCTACAGCAGGAAAGGAAATTCAGTATTCTGAGAATAGAACTCTCTTCAGCATCTCCAGGAACAAAACAGCTGCTGTACTGTACTTATGTGTCAAGATAACAGGCTGAAAGCAGGAAATGCAAATCTAGTGCAGACGCCTGAGTAGTGTAAATGTAAAGTTTCAGTTAACCCGTAAAAGTAACAGAGATTGTAACATGAATAATAGTTATCTGTATTGTATAAAACAAATAAAAAGAATATTTAACAATATCTGAGTTTGATAATGAAGCTTTGCTTACATTCTGTGAAAGATCTGCTAATATTTCATATGCTATGAAAGAGCCTTGTGATGCAGGAGTTACTGTTCGTCAACTGAGACTCAAGCTCATGTTTTCAAGCCTCCTACCCAATACATGAACACTTTTTCTCACTCTCACTCATGTCTTAGGTTTATTTTTTGCATTGCTCTCAGATAGTGACTGAGACCGTATTTTTCTAACCGAACTTTACAGCTTTTTGTAATTTCCCCTTACATTCTATCTCTAAGGAAATATTATTGCAGAAGTGTCATCATTGAAAAATGGAGCATTTTTAATGATTGCTGAATATCTTCTTCATATGTACAGCAAAATTGTCCTAAATTATCTTGAAAGAGCTTAAATCTGCTATACGCGACTTGTTCAGAATTCAGAAGGTGCAGCAAAATGGCATGACAGGCAGCTACGAATAAGACAAGAGGCACAAAAATAACAGGCATTTTCTCATCTTCTGCTCTCCCTAAGTTCTGAAGATGTCAGTCACCAACAGTGTCCCATTACAAAGCTTTCAGCTTGGTCACTTCCATTACCTGATTTCTGTGTAGACAACTGATATTCAGTCAACATTTTGTCTTTCTTGAGGTCAATGACTTTTCTGAAAACCAGTGTACTTAAAATAACTATAGAAGCCTGCTGTAAAAGGTGAGACTGAGTGCCATCTAAACGAGTACTACAGATTTGAGGGAATCATATGATGAAACCTTTTTCAAACAATTTTTTTGTGATAAAGTTTGGCTGTCTGGACTAGAATATCTTTCTCTGCTAGTAAGAAACAATTCTTCTTGCAATCCATTGATGCCCATTGGAGAATCTGTGACAGAGCTCATCTGGGAACACTTTTGTCCACTGACAGGACCAAATTGGAAAATAACATTCCAGAAGCTACCTGCAAAGCAGTTTTGTGTATAAAGATCAGCGAATAATGGAATGTTTCATCAAGGTTTCTTTGGTCAACACCTAGAAATTTTTTCTCCCTTTTTTCTCTTTTCAACTAAGGCTCATATGTGCTAGGTACTAAAAAAAAAAAAAAAACAGATTTTCTAGGACAGTGCTTCAGCTGGTGTAAATATTCATTGCTTTAAAGAGGTCGAGAGAGATGACTGATTTAAACCATTCAAGGATTTTTCTATATAGGCACTTGTGAGATAATTTCCCGATGCCTGTCAATGCCCTGAGAAAGCAATATTCTTTGCAATAGGAGAATAAGTCACCACCTCCATTGTGACCCACCCATGCTGAAGTAGCACAGTTCGGATTCACTCTTTACAGTACACTGAAACCTGTGATCAGGATTTATAATGTGAATCACAGCCTTTGAGGAGGTGAGGTGAATCCATTAGCTAATTTTCCATTGTGCTGTAATCTACATAGGTCACTCTGAAACTAATGCCTACTTTTTATTTCCATGGAAACTATAGCAGCGACGAAGAGCACAACAAAACTTTGATAGAGAAAATTCTCATCTGCAAAATACTATTTTTCAACATAGTCACCACCATTTGCTGTGTATTTTCACCAGCAATGAACAAGAGCCTGCATGCAGTGCTCGTAACAATCTGCATGGCCATCCAGAGGATGGCTTGTCTTTCACAACACTGTTGTCACTGCTGCAACACACCACACACCACCTCACTATGCTCACATACACTGTTTGGTCTGCATCAACGTTCAGAAAGCATCAGTGAATGTCAGTGGGTGCCATTTTTTCAACATGGAGGAATTCAGTTCCAAACCTTGCTTTATACTCGCTTCCATGTCAGACGCTGTTCTGTCAGATGCTGCCATCTGTCACACAGCAACAAAATGTAATGGAATATTGGTGGGAAGGTTCAGCCTCTACTGCCATATCACCAACATCCACCTCTAATGTCATGGGCCAACATAATAAAATACGAGGCATTACTTTCAGAGTAACCTTGTATACTGGAAGACATGATTACACTTTGCTTTTGCATGACAGTTTTTTCTAGATAAATATTATTTCAGAAAAAAATGTAGAAATACAAAGTAAAGCAACAATGTTTAAGGCACTTAAACTTCAGTTTTGTTAACAGCAATCATTTTTCAAATTTTGTCATTAATATTCCAAGTGGACACTCAAAAAATAAAAAAAAAATCTAGAAATTCCATATAATGTATAATGCAGTATATCTGAAATCATTTTTGTAAAGAAAGATTTTACACAAACACACTCGTACTAACATACACACAGACTATCCAGAATGACCTATACTGTCATATACACACAAACATCTAAGAAGTATTTAAAATTGTCTTGAGTGAGTAGATAATACATCATTTCACAGGCTCCCAACCTGCATGCTTTATATCTATACCCCCCACCAATATCTGTGGATAATTCTGCACATGAAAGAGCTGAAAAGCAGATGTATCACAATTATGCTGATTTGTTTACACATCTATTTAGATAAACACATCCCTACTGTTATCATCATTCATCATATATCAACAGATGTAAAGAATAATAATGAGTAATTGATTTATGTCCCAGAAGTCGTAGTTGGGAGGGGCCTTCTTTTTTCCCCAGGAGAAAGGTTGTGTGCAGGCTTCTTTTTATGGGCATTTTGCTTGTTTGTTCTTGCATACGTAAATAACCTTTAATTTGTGGAAATCATTCCTAATTATTTGGGGATTTTATTTAGAAATAAGGTTATATCTTACCTTCATTTACGTGTTAGTGACCTAAATCTAAACCAGCTGATTAGTCATAAAAATCTCTATTAATAGTATGGTTATTCATTGTCCAAAACCACCACCATATCAGACATTTATTATTATTGGTGTCTGTACTGCTCAGAGCACCATTTTCTTAGCATTAACCACTAAGTCCCCCCCAAATAAGTCCCTTAATTATGCAAATGACATTTTCACTGTTAAAGCCTGAAATCAGTATTAAGTATTCCCTTAAATCTGTAAACCTTTTGCATCTGATAGCACAGCATCATCACTCTAGATGATTATTAAATTTGTCCTAAATTCAGTTCATATTAAAGATAACCTAAACGTGTACTGCAGAAACGTTAAACAAATTTTCATCAGATGCTGTCACATATTCCACTGGCAGCCCAGTAAAACAGATACTATAGCTCAATGTAAATTTTTTTTATGTGGTGTAGGGGTGGAAATAATTAAAATGTTACCTTTGCCAAGTAATTCCCAATGTATCCTCACTGGCACTGGGGTATAAATGCCTGCCGTTTTGATTCATGGTCCAGTCACAAATCCTCAGCTGTCAATTGAAACCTAGCAGTCAGATATGGATCGAGCAGTACTACAGTTTTTAGTATTTAAATGAATGCATGCAAAATAGTATTGTACATGGCAAAAGCCTTATTTTCTCAAGAAGAATATTAAAAAAAAAAAGAAGAAGAAAAAACAAAAATAAAAACAAAAAAAAGAAACAACCAACCAAACAAAAATAACTTATTCTGAAAAATAAATGCCTACCGATTTGCTTAAGATAATGCTACTTTAATATGCTTCTCTATTAATAAAGCATAAAAGAGTAACTAGTGTTTAGCACAAAACAATTAGCCATTATTAGATTACAAACTGAGCTGGAATAAAAGGAAATGTTAATATTCAATAGTGAAATATTTTAAGAAAGAAAATAAAAATGCTGTTTTCTCTAAGCAATGCTGTAAATCATGTATTAAGGTCTAATGTAGTCAATATCATGTAGCATGCATTTTGTGAAACATAGAAAACATGCAATTTATAGAAATATTGTCCAAATTAAACAATCTGTATGTCCTTATCTTGCTATTTAAGAAGGGTAAAGGTATTTTGTAACTGAAGTTTATTAATTTAGTGTTACTCAGAGCAATTTTACTTAGTAAGAGGTGATAAAATAATCTAATCTTGTTTTAGGCTTAGAATAACAGCATTAAAAATATTCTATTGTTTTTTGGTATAATGAAGAATGTACTAAATGTAATCTGAAGCAAATTCTTCCCAGATCCTCAAATCATCAGTTCTGCCTTCACGGACTTTTCAAGCAACCCTCAATAGCTCTGCTTGTTTAACAGCTGCTCCATAGTGTTAGCAGATTTATTGAAAAGATATACGACTTATTTTTATGTTTAAGAAAGTGAACTTATCTGGCTTGCAAAGAAAACACATATTTTAACCCCTGTATAGTTATGCGATATTATAAACTGTTGTACCATTACATACAATACAGAACTCTGAATTGAAGATAATGTTGTTACTGAATCTAATTATTTTAATTTCAGCTTTCTCTATTCATATTTGATCTTCAGAAAGCACAAGCAGAGAAACTACAGTATTTTCACAGGAGCAAATTTACTTGCAATCTTTTCCTGAAAAATACAAATGCTAAGGACAAGACAGTATTGCAAACCTGATCCTGTCTAGCTGATAGACTCATAAGTTTCCTGCTGTTAAGGTCTGAGAAATGGAAACGTTAGTCTCTGATATTTTCTTAGGGATTCGTTTTTTGTTTGTTATCTAGAGAACTCCAAGGGACCTCCTAAAGGCCATTAAATGCATGACTAAACCACATGAAATTAAACAGAAAAGGAAATATGCATTGAAAAGTTTGCTATCATTAACTGTGAATAATACATTAAACACATTTTAAAAAAGGGCTAAGTAAATATTTGGTTTATTAATTATACAAAACAGTATTGTAAACCAAATTTTAATACGGAGGATATAGTAAAACATTGGTTTGGTTACTTGATTGGTTTGGATACTTGAGAGCAGTACTCTCACTATAGCTCTTTAAGAATATTTTAAAAGCTTATAACTTAATTATAATAACTCACTTCCCACTGAAATAAAAGACTGAAAGATTTAAAAAATGATCTTTTCTTCTTTCACAAAATATGCAATCTATGAATAAATGATATTTGGCTGATAATAAGCAGAAAATATATTAATGTCCTAAACTTACTGTTACAAAATTTTTATGCGCTTAGGTCTAGCTTGAAAATCTGGCAAGTACTTAATTTTCAATGGGACCTGACTACATTTGTGATACAGGGAAAGCATTTTACATTACATTTTAGTAAAATCAGCTCCTGAACTAAATTGTGATGTTTTTCTCACTGTCTAAATGAAAACTTTCCATATGTGCAGTTAATGTATGAGAGTTATCAGTAAGAGCTCCAAAAAGAGCTTTTCAAATCTATGTCATTAAAGTTAGTATTGTCATACATCATATTAAATATAGTCATACATAGCACAACATCAACACATACACATATGAATACTGATGTGATAGTTATAGAAGGTATACATTTTATATATGCTATAGACCTATTGCATGCACCTATATATGTAGATTAATGTTGGATCAAATCTATAGTTAGTGTAAAGTGTAGTGCTTTTTGTTGCGCCAGCTATGCCTCCTTGTAGTACTGTCAATACAAACCACTGCAGGTCTGCCTGATAATTGTATGTTAATACAATTTAATTAATTAATTACAATTAATACAGTATTAATTGTATAATAAAATATATGAAAAGCAGGATGGCATCAGTTGCACTTAAAATCACTTTCCCCATGTTAAAATCTATTGCTTCACATTCCTCTGCAGGCTAACATAGCTGTGGTGTTGTCTTTAAAAGCTGACCTGCCAGGAAAATGTTGGGTTTTTTTTCTACCTCACATAAAATTTCCTTTTACAAATCACTACTGCCTGGAGACTATGATGTCTAAGAAAACAGTCCAGGATTTAGAAATATACATTTGGAAGTATTTGGAAATATCCCTTTCAAAGTCTTCATCTGCATCCTTCACGTGCTGTTGAGTACTTTCTGGGTAAAAGGTCTGGAAGGGCTTAAAAGACCTCAACAAGCCCTGCCTGCTTTTGATGGAAGATGTCTGCTTACAGCAGCAGCAGGAACACTGTCCTTGGAGGACATCCAGACAGCCCAGTAGGGAAAGCCTGGGAACACAGGCCTGACATGAGTACCTAGCTTTGGAAGATGTAGGGCATTTTAATACAGTATTTTGAGTGCTACCTTTTGTCTAGAGGCATGCTGAAAGCTTTCTGGCCAGTTACAGTCCTCAGAGTAAATTGAGTGACTTCTAGAATTATACCACAGTGTTAACTGGACATGAGAAGGCAATTCACTCTCATCCGCAATAAGCCACCTAGGAGATGTTTGGAGCAGGAAATATGAAAGGGAAAGGCAGGAAACTAGTTGCAGTCTGCTAGAAAAAACTTAGATTCCTTAGGAGAAGGACTTAAGAAATAGTCCTTATGAGACAGTTAATAAATGCTGAAAAACATGACTAACTTTCCCATAAATATGCTGTGGATGCAAAATAAATGACCTGATTTTGCCACTTGTGACATGGCAAAAGCCCCTCTTAGAAGCCTGCTGAAGTGGCCTGCACTTCAGTCCCATGGCTTTGTCATCTTCAGACAGGCGAGCAACAGTAACACCTTCTATCCACAAAATACAAGCAATGACTTTTTACTTCTCTTTCTCTTAACCCCGCAGGAAGAAAGAATGTGGATCTGTATGCTGAGGAGAAAAAGTGTGCCCAGCTTTGCAGTAGATGGGGAAACCTGACATGCAGCCTAAGCTTACCCCAGTGTGCAGAGCTGTGTGTGGAGCCTGCATTCCTGGGATGTGCCCTCACTTGTGGAGTACCAGGGAGCTCAAAGCCTGCAGAAAATTGCATTACCTGGCCTGCAAATATTTCTCCAGAAAAGAATGCAACTCCCTTACCACCTCAGCAACATCATGGAAAGGGGCCACAGGCTCATATAGCAATGGAGTCAAGCACTACCTCCCTACTCCTGCTTTGCCCTCTCTAAAACACCAGGAGAGTGATTTTAATTTTGCATTTTCCAGTGCTTTCCAGTGCTTTGAGACAAACTGATATGAAGCTTGAGCCAAGAGACAGATCTTGCTATATCTGCTTTTTCAGTTTGAACTGGGCATCTTCCAAGTACAAGTTCTGCACACTTTTAAGTAGGCAAATCCTTCCTACATTCCTACATTATAATTCCACAGTCAACAGCTCAATCTTTAATCATCTGAATAATTTCAGGGGTAATATTTAAGCAGGTTTTGTATTTTCCTATTGAAACAGTGGCCCATCAAATATTAACATTTATTTCAATCCTCTGTGATTACTAGTGAAAATAATTAAGTATCTTGCAGTCTGCAATGTGAGATTTTGCTATAGTTTCTGTTAGTTCAAAAAAAGCTCATAAAGCTGAGCATTTGCATATTGTCATTGTTTTGGCTGAAACTTCCTTTAAATGTGTTTCCTTTTCAGCAAGCATATGTGAAAACTGACCTCTTATCCATTTACATACCTCCCTGGTATTTATATGGCCAAGTTTTACGTCAAACTGTCAATTATGATGAGAGACACAATAAGACCAGCTTAAGTGTTGATAACCTGTTTCCTGGCTTTACTGAGAAGTTCCGACTGAGAGTCCACTTGTGTTCTTTCTTTCAGCTCTCTGCTGAAAGCAAAAGCAACATTCACCTAAAATGTTTTAAAAACAGATACTTTGCTTTCAGTAGACATTTAAGTTTACAACTTTCATGACCAACAGAATGAAGAGAATCTCATTTTGAACTGTGGGATTCAGTAACTAAAGGATACATCTGGAAGGAACTACTTCCTATCAAAGGAGCAGGGCAGTCTCATGCTAGGAAACAAAAAGCTATCCGCAGCTTTCTGGTTTTGCATTTTAGAGATCTGAAGTGTTTCTTATTACTCTGCACACTGCAAATGTGTCAGTCATAAAAGTGATAGCTGTGTGAACATCATGCATACCACACTCAGGAACTCCATGCTCTAGTGAAATCTATGCCATTGTGTTAAACAGTGCACAAACTGAAGGACTTTACCCGTTCATTTACAATTGGATTGGCATTAGTTAGGAAAGTTTACCATGACAGTAAAGTTTTAGAAGTCATTGTGTTCACAGACCTCAATATCTAATCTGTTTATATTTTCTGCTCTAAAATACAGTCATGAATCTCAGGCTCCAGTGTGCATTAAAATGAAAAAGAAAGAAAAGCTGTTAATTACATGTCATAGAAATCTTATTTTTGTGAATGTTTGTCTGTGCATTCAATAAATATAAGTGTTTGTCTGTCTGACAGTCCATCCATCCATCCATCTCTTAATGTTGTATATACAGGTAAAATCCATGACTACTGTTTTTGGCAACATTCTAGGTTTTGAGCCAGAAACAACACCAACGTATAGCTGAGCATCTATAGTCTAACTGACAGAACTACTTCAGTTTGTTGGTTCTTCCTCTAACTTAGGAACTGTAGATCCTCAGTAGAAAAAAAGGTAAACAGTGAGCAAAACAAAGAAAGAATGGGATGGGAGAAGATGCTCACATACCATTGTGGAGATTATCCAAACTTTCCTCTATGCATAGTACAGTTAAGCTGTTTCTCAGCAAAAATGATGAGCATTGAGCACTAGATTCATTTTCATAAAATAACCCCCCCAGCCACCAAAAGTCTGACTCATACTTCCTGTCACTTCCTTTCCCCTCACTAGGAATCTCTCCCTACAACTGTGTTATTAACACTTGACAATACTCAAAAGCTGATGCTGAATTGAGGAAAGCAAACCAAGTGGTCATTGATGATTTGTAATAGACATTTTGGGGGAGCTGTCATAAATAGCGATAAAATGCTAAGACCAATATAAATTTATAGCTGCCACTTAAGCAGGATAATCATTTTGTAACTATTAATGTCAAACATTTAGAAATATCTGGCATTTCAAGTCAGGTAGCAGGAAGACCTACCAGTACATACACCAGAATCTATGGAGTTAAAAATCCTCATTAGATGAATGTCTTCCTGATTAACACAGCATGCTAGGTAATGCATCCAACTTTCACAGTATCCAGATCACTAAAGGCAAACTGTTCCCATAGATGTCACAGAATCACACAACCACAGAATCACAGGATTGGAAGGGACCTCAAGGATCATGAATCTCCAACCCCCCTGCCACCAGTCAGGGCCACCAACCTCCACTACATCTTTCAAAATTGTATTTAATACTTTCCATCTAAATGCAATTATTCCAGGTAGTTGTACTATCAGTCCTTTATTAGAAGTTCTAGCAAACTTCCACTTTGCCAAAATGCTCTGTGTTAAGTACATTACAAACTGTATATGTAACTTCTTAATATACTGTGGCTACTGTACTTTATATAGGCTACATCCTGGTTCTTTTTAACAACAGAAAGGTGTTCAAGAGTAGATGCCAATATTTCTCATAACCAGAGAAAATAAATCTCCGTAAAGGCTCCTCCAATTAAGTAAAAAATGTGGTGACAATATTTATTCTTGAAGGGTCAGTGTATGTTACACGGTATGGTGAATGCTTAAAAGACTTCTATGGAACTAAAACCACTGCCTTTCTAATTTGGAATTTCTCTCAGCTAATACAAAATGATTGATTGCCTTTATTTCATGTACCTCTTGATTTTCCTTTCCATTCATCATGAGCTGTTTTAAAGCAAATGCATTTAAAACTGGTCACAGGAAGAGTGGTCTCTTTTAAATTGTTGTAAAGTAATGAAAGAACATAGTAAATCAATCTAATTCCTGCCTCACAAAGGATAACCTTTCCTCTATTGAAGTTTTGACAATTTCAGTGTTGTACCACACTTTCTGGGCAAAAAACATATATGGCATCATCATCTTTGAGATCTCTTTAGGATTTAAGTGGGAGAAGGCGACTTGTATGTACTTATGTGCTTGCGCTTATCCACTTAGAAAAGCTTTATTGTTAAAGCAGTTTCTTCTTTCAGTTGGTTTAAAGCAGTGCACACTATTCCCTAATTTTCTACATATTCGTGTGTGTAACCATTCACACACACATACATCAAACACATTCAGGCAAATTTACACCTATATTCATTGTGCAAGTTACAAAAGAATAAAGAAATCATAACAAAAGTGAAACCATAAAACAATTTTTTTCAATCTACTGGTCTCCAACTGATGTTTTGGAATTAATATAGCAAGAGTATGAAGGAACATAATTCAGAATGGAGAACATTGGTTTCACACAGTTTTATGAACTGTGTCTGAGACCTGACTTATTTTCACCTTTTACCTAAGTCATATGGCCACACATTTTACTAAGAAAAGGAGTATAAGATATAGTGTATGTGAATACTAATAACAGTGATTGCCCTCACTTTTAAATTCCTAAGATGCTGCTAAAATCTGCAAATTTATTTCAGTCTACACAAAGCCTAAAATATGTAGGACGCATGAAATAAGCATTATATAATGCACATGTAATAATCTCAGCCAACAGAAAATTAAGTGTACTGCTACCAACTTCTAGGCATGTGGGAAGAAGTTTGTAATTCTTTCAGTGCACCTGGAAGAAGGTGGAGTAGATTTAAGAAAAGTGAATTTTAGAAAAAAAAACTGTCTATAAATGTACGTGGAAAAAAAAACTAATTCTGCAATCTAACTGGATGTCAGACACTTTTCAAAGGATACGCTGTAAAATATCACATGAAAAAAAATACAGAAATAGCAATGTACTGTTTAAAAAGAGAGATCCTGTGAGTGTATCAAATAAAATATATATAATGACACTGTATATCTTCAAAAATAATCATGTGGTAATTATAACACATTTCATAATGCAGTGATCTTTAAAGAAAACAGTACATCAGTGAAACAACTGATGGCAAAAAAACATTTGATTTTATATTTTCATAAATGCATACATGTGTTTCCTGGGAGACCTTGCTGATTAACAAATAAGTTGGCAATGTGTCAACTGTCTTATATATCATCTTTTATGATTTTATGAGGACTTTGCATGGAGTGACCTCTAAAGCATCCATACCACTACCTTGCCCTGGGATTGGGTAGAGGGAGGGAATTTCAGGTGCAGCATACAGCAGCTATATCATGGCAATCACTGAAAAGACCAAGGGCCATTTAACAGCTCCATTTTTACTGCCACATTCACTTTTTTTCCTTGTAACATTTTAAATGCTGCTAATTTCAAACTCTTCTCCTGCTAAGATACAGGAGCAACAGAAACACACACCATAAAATATGGCGATAATCTAAGGTGTTGGAGTTTGTTCCTGTTATTAGCAGTGTAGGATTTCTGTATATGCATGGCCTTGAAATTGATTGTGGATATTTTGTTTGTAAACTATCATTAATCTTGGCTGTGTATTTTCACAGTTTGGATAACCACTTCATTTGCATTAAATTCACAGCATTAACAAGATGTGAAAAATAAAATGCTTCCTGAAACATAAATGATATAAGAAACTAGAACAAAACTATGTTTTTATCACATTTGAGATCTGCAGACCAATTTAAACTTATTAAACTGGAAACTGTTATATGTTGTTTGGGTTTGATAATTTGGGTTTAAATTTAATTTTCTAGAAAATAAATGCTGAAATGTTGCCCTAAACATCTGAAAAATTGTTACAATACAGTTTAAAAATAGTAAATTGGACTATTCTGTTTGGAAATTTTGCTTAATTTTAGTTGATTTAAAATGATTATTTGTTACTTATGTATCTAATTCTCATTCCTAAAATCCAATTAAAGATTACATGTATGAGCTCTCAAAAAATGCAGCATTTGGAATAAATATGATTAGAAGTTCCTTAAGAAGACACAAATCCAAGAAATAAAGCATAAGCTAAATTCATGTTTCTTAAGTGATTCAGTATTTGTTTGAATAAACTGCATCTTCAGATGATAAATACTGAAAATTTTAAGTTCCCATTCTACTTCAAGATAACAGTGGCAGAACGTAGAAAGGTAATATTGCAAAAACTTCTCTATATTGTTACACCTATGTGAAACTTGCCCACCTGTTGCTGGTGTAGGAAGGATGGGTCTCTTGGGCTTAGTCCCACATATCGATTGGCTTGGGATGTGCCTGAAGCTGTGTAGGCTGATTAAGGAAGAACAAAACAGATTGATAAAAATACCAACCTATCATAGCTATTACCCTGTGCAGGTACAGTACAGATATCCAGAGTTATGATTTTGCAATATATAGGATGTGTCTATTTTTTCCTTCACTTAGACTTTAATAGAATGCAAAAGAAAAGTTGGACCACGGTCAGAGGCATGTGCAAATTCCTACAAACTTCAATGGAAGCTGCATGCGTAAATCATTGTGTTGACTCTTGTTAAATAAAAGTTTATCAGATTAATGCATATTATTTTTTTGTAAACTAATTAAATGATATATATATTTGAAAGAATTGCAAGTCTGGTTCTCGTTTTCATTACACCAGTCTAAGGCACCAGTGAAATCATTAACATTTTAATGTTGTGAGAAAAAAGTAAATATTAGTCCATGTTGTTTACTGCTGTCATTGTCTTTCACAAAATGTAAGAGAACAACAAAAATTGAAAACAAAAATCCAGTTTGGCATGAAATTACTCTTTACAGTCCTTTGGAGAAAAGGTGTAATCTCTCATTAGTAGTTTCATGGGATGGGAGATAAATTTTACTACAAACTATCGTATTAAATATTCAGCTCCATTATGCATCAGGAAACATTTTTCCAACAAGACAATTTAAGGAAATTTGTTCCTTTTGTGCTACGAAAGCTTAAAGAAATCCATTTCTGAGGAGCAAGAGGATGGTAGGTGCTATAGCTTCAGCTTCAGCTGTAGATCACATTCCTCTCTGGTCAGTCACCAATCTCTAAAAGCTATTACCTTCTCATCGCTTTTGGTGGTGCTTAAAAAATGGGGCAAGTGATCTTACTCCACTTCCTCATATGGAGATGTCCACACTGCATCTCGTGGCATAACAGCCTAGAAACTTGTTGGCAGACAAAGTAGAACTAATAAAATTGAACAGACGTACAAAAGTATGCTAGTGAGGATATAGATGGGCATACTTAATAAATGCTTCAGTTTGTACTAATGTTACGTGGCAACTTTCATTACAAGCAAATGATATCTGTTATTTAAAAAAATAATAATAATTAAAGACTTCCTATATTAAAAACCATCCTGGAAAACCATCATAAAAATGAGCCAGATACTTAGAAGGAAATTATGGTGGAGATCATAGCACTGCTCAAATATTAGCAGAGGTTTTAAAAATGTTATAAATTTGATAATATTTTCAAATATTATCAAAGCAATTCTGCTGTTGTGCTTCAGAGTGAAAAGCAGTGTTAATCATTTATCATTTTATTCTCATCACACTAATAATAAAAACTTGCTGGCCAAGCATATGTTTTATTTACTTACACGTTTTGAAAATATCAATGATTTATTGCAAATACAGGCTGACGATCTTTCCTCTAAACACTTTAGCAATCCCAGTGGCAGGTAAGTTGATGTTGACAATGCAGTCTGTATAGATTCATTTAAAATTTTTGTATCAGCAGCATAGGATCCCTCACTTTTTGCTATTTTCTTCTCCAGCGAGCCATGTTCCTTCAGTTATTTTTCTCTGTCAGTCATCAAACCAGTTTCAGTGGGGCTTACCCAAGTAGGAACACAGTTGCACTGCTCTCTGAATCATAGCACTCTGAATAGGTAGCATGAGTATGCTATTTTGTGCAGAACTGGCACATTCTGATAAAATGTGTACACTTTATTATTGCTACTTCTTTGCTATTCTGGCAGACATTGGATCTTTAAGCAAAAAAATTGCTGAGGTACTGCTGTGGAAGCAAGAACAGGCCTTATTTCAGTTATCCAAGGAGAGATTTTCTAATGTTCACAGGGCAACTTGTGAGCCAAAGTTCCAATGAATTTCAAACAAAACTGGATGCAAACTCAATTTCAAAATGCAATCCAAATTTTTCATTTAGTAGTAGGATAACAATTAATGAACAGGTTAGGATTGCTTTCTTCTAACAGTCATTACTGTGGTCAGACCAGAAAGCATCCCAATGTATATCTGACACTTTATTTATTCTTTTTACCATGTGTATTAGAGATTCTGACCTCATCTGAGACCGATACTTGGTCCACTCACAACCATGTCAAACATGAAAGAGGATGAAATGTTGAATAGTTGAAATGATTTATGACCTGTTATATTCCCAGCTATTCTACACCAGAAATTTACAGCAACAACTTCATGTTTGCTTCTAAAACCAGCTCTTCTCAAGACCTACAAGAACTGCACCGTATGATGCCAAACAAGGTACAGATACACTGTACCACTAAACTCTTCTAAGAAACCGTCTGCTGTACTAAAAGAATACCTAATATACTGACACAAATCTATCCATATAAGTTTATAGGTGAGCAGTAGTTTGTCCAAGATTTACTACTATATTTTTATGATAAAAGAATAAACATTTTCACTCCCTTAAATCTTGCCACTCACATGCATTTGAGTGCTTGTTTCTGCTTCACATTCTAATTAAGTGGTTTGAGGTAGTATATATACTTTAAAAACAAGAGGATTTTGTGGTCTCAGTTAATGCAAACCCAACAGTTCTGAATCACAGTTCAAAAACTAAATGTTTCTAAAGCAAGTCAGTTAAATGCAATTGGTCCTAAAGAGATTCTTATTTTTAACAAATGAGGTTTCTTCCAAACTGATAAGAAGTGTCTCCAAAAATCTTCTCATCTAATAAATACTGGTAACATATCTCCAGTCTAAAGAAAAGTTCAAAGACAGTAGATATGCAGAGAATTAGTAAAAGATCAGTGCATTACTGAAAATAAGATGAATAGTAAAAAGAGAAAAAATCACTCATTGCCTAGTAATGTCTTTGTTCTTATTTCCAAAACTGCAGTTCCATTGAAGAAAATAGGGTAAATAGTCTGGTCCTGAAGATACAGTAAGAAGAGCATAAAACTTCAAAGCTTTTTGTTTTTTAAATAATGAAAAGAACAGGGGATCAACTATCCACTTCAACAATGAAAAGAAATGAAAATTTTCTTTTGCCCCATCACTTATTTTTGATAAAATTGACACAACCTATATCAGTATGCAAATCTCATAGCTCGGATTCAGTATGCATTGTAAAAAGGGTTGATTTCTGTAGGAAAGCCCATTGAGGAGCAAATCATCCAATCTATGTTTGGAATTCCATCTGTAGATCATTGTGAAGCCTTGCTGTCTGGGTGTGCTTCTCAATGTCATTACAACGTCCACCTTAAAATAACTGTCATGTTTTCTTTTTCTTGAATAGTGGTCAAATATGCAGGCTTTCCCTTTTCATTTTATTTGCCATGTCACAAATATTAGTTCATGTAACATGATGCATTGGTTGAAATTTGGAGAGGAAAAGCTTGCAGTCAGATCACATATTTGCTCTCCATGTAAATGATGAGAATCCATTTGGTCAAATAGTAGGAAAAGGCGCCTTTTTCTGGCCTCTATTTGGTATTTTTAATCTTTGATGGACATTTTCTTTTTCCTAGAGAAATACTTACTGGTTGCTGTAGGTGAAGATGCCTCACCTTCAGTGGATGTAGTGATGGGCTTAGTATCTGTCATGTTCAGGGTCACAGGTCGCACCGCACTGTGATGGGGAGAGGGTGCCAAAACTGGAGTAAAATGGCCAGGCACTTTCCCTACTACTTGACCACTGCTGTTAGGCTACAAAACAAAACCAAAAGAATTGTTTGTGAAACATACATATTGTGTTTAAGGCACGTACCCACCTACTATAGGGGTTTCCAGAACGCCCATCACTGTAGTATTGCATGCTGGAATGTGCTGTTTAAATAAACCTATGAATTGCTATGAGATATTTTCATGTGACAGAAAAGCTCTCCTCAGATAAGTATTACTTATTTAGTAGCACTATCTTTCGGTGAGCTTTGTTTTTTTCTGGATGCAGCATATGTCAGATTGTTTCAAAACATATTTGCCGTTCACACAGCTGTGAACTGCACTAAGTACAATGATAACAAGATTAAACTGACCAGGGATAAGCCCTGATGTGCTAACTATTAAGAGCAAATAAACGATGGAAAACTTCTACTTTCACATGCCATACCACTCTGGCTTGGAGAATAACCAAGATTTGACCACAACTGTCCATAGAGATTACACATACTGGAAGGCTAACTAATAATTCACTTGTCTGGGAGTAGGAGAGAGGGCTGGGATACACTCACTATACTGCAAATATCATAACTTTTTGCAAAAAATGGAATTATCAAAAAGCACTCTTCATAGAAGTATTTAGTAATGGAAAGTCTGCAAGTTGAGACCATTATAAAGTCACATCATTCACAGATTCAAAGGATGTACAAGAGTTGGTCTGCACGTGACTTTATAGCACAGGTCATCAGGATAATATTCTACTCTCTGCACATAGGCACATCTGAATTTGGCAGTGATCATTGGTAAGCGTACATATTTACACAATATTTAAACATGCCTTAGACATTCAGCATTAGTGTACGCACTTAATTGTAAATATCTTGCAGCAGAAATCAGCAAGTAATGTAGTCAAGAGTGGCTGACAACTGTTAAGCTGATTCTGTGCTCTGTGAATTGCAGGTATTTTAAAATACAGTCACATAAAATAAAAACTAATGAGAATATTATTATTGAAAGGATATTCTAAAATGTGAAATAACTCAGTGAAACAGATGGACTGATAAAAGACCTGATTCAACTGATTCAACTGATACGATGATGGAGGGAATACTGATACGATGATGGAGGGAAGTGGATTTGATGGGTGGACGACCCGATGGATAAGCAATTGGTTGAAAGGCCGCAGACAGAGGGTGGTGGTCAATGGCTCTATGTCCAGGTGGAGGCCGGTAACAAGTGGTGTCCCCCAAGGGTCTGTCTTGGGACCGGTGCTCTTTAACATCTTTATTAATGACATCGATGAGGGAATTGAGTGCACCCTCAGCAACTTTGCTGACGACACCAAGCTGAGTGGTGCGGTTGATACGGTGGAAGGAAGGGATGCCATTCAGAGGGACCTCGACAGGCTGGAGGGCTGGGCTCGGGTGAACCTGATGAGGTTCAACACGGCAAAGTGCAAGGTTTTGCATTTGGGCCGGAAGAACCCCAGGCACCTGTACAGGCTGAGAGGAGCGGTCCTTGAGAGCAGCTCGGCAGAGAAGGACCTGGGGGTCCTGATGGACGAGAGACTGAATATGAGCCAGCAGTGCGCTCTGGCAGCTCGAAAGGCAAATGGGATCCTGGGCTCCATCAGGAGAGGGGTGGCCAGCAGGGACAGGGAGGTGATTGTCCCTCTCTACTCGGCTCTTGTGAGGCCCCATCTGGAATACTGTGTCCAGGTGTGGAGCCCTCAGTACAAGAAAGACATTGAGATTTTGGAAAGGGTCCAGAGGAGGGCGACTAAGATGATCAGGGGGCTGGAGCACCTCCCCTATGAGGACAGGCTGAGGGAGTTGGGCTTGTTCAGCCTGGAGAAGAGAAGGCTGCGGGGTGACCTCATTGCAGCCTATCAATACCTGAAGGGAACCTACACCCAGGAGGGGAGTAAACTCTTCAAAAGGGCTGATAACAGCAGGACTAGGGGAAATGGATCCAAGTTGAAGGAGGGAAGATTTAGGTTGGATGTTAGGGGGAAGTTCTTTACTAGGAGAGTGGTTAGGCCCTGGAACGGGCTGCCCAGGGAGGTTGTGGATGCCCCGTCCTTGGACGTGTTTAAGGCCAGGTTGGACGGGGTCCTGGGCAACCTGATCTGAATGTGTATGTTTGGTGGCCCTGCTAGGCAGGGGGGTTGCAACTACATGATCCTTGAGGTCCCTTCCAACCCGGGTGATTCTGTGATTCTGTGATCTGTGATTCTGTGATACAATGGAAGGTTAAAAGAGGTGAACATGATTTAGCTGTAAAATAATAACCATGGGCTGAAATTATTTCTGCAAGTATGTGTAGAGCATAAACAAACAGAAGAGGAAGGAAATATTTGGAAAGTACAGGGAGTATAAACCAGGGGTAATGGAATGAAATAGAGAAGGAGGAAATCTAAAATGAATTGCAGGAAAAACTTCCTGGCATTATGATCTATGAGACGCTGCAGATGCCCCCAGTGGAGACAGAGAGCTTCATTCTTTAGGAAATCTAAAACAAAACTAGAAAATGTAAGTACAAGTGGAGACCAATCTGGAATTCACAAGAATATTGAGCAGCTATCAGATTACTTGTCCCTCTAAAATCACAAATCTTAGAATGGAATGTAAAAGCCCAAATGAGTATTGATGAGAAAGGGCCAACAAACTACACCCAAATTAAAGTACTCCCACTATTGTCAAACGTAAACAAGTCACTTCCTAAACACAACTGTATGTTGGAAGGGAAGAGATTGGGCCAAGCAGCCATGCTGTTCCAAGATCTTGTAATTTGAATAACTGGGCATTTATCACTGGATATTTATCACTGGATATTTATCACTTTTCATTAACATCCCCAGTAGCTTAAACTGAAAAGTTACTACTAGGATTTTAGTAACAAGTAGGTGAAAGAGAATCAGCTGTCAAAGTACCTTCAGAATAAGAAAACAGCACTGATTCAAAGAAAAGGAATGACAATACTTTCACATTTACCCAAATAACTAGTATGTTATCAAGACTTTTATTCACTGGGTGAAACTTTGTAGTTAAATAGATCTCTCTTACTCTTACATGAAAATGATGTAAAAGAATATATACTCAGTATCTTCTTGAGAAAAAACAGGCATCTTAGTGACCATAAATCTGACTCTACCTGCTTTAGAAGAAAAAGAAAACTTTAACTAACATAAATTCAGAAAACTTCTAAGATTTACCTAGCTTGCTTTCTGCTTCAGATTGAACCATTGCCATGCTTCTTAGAGCCCTGCTGCAGCAGTAAGCCCACTCTCCTCCCTGCTACCGAGCTATCCATGCAGCCTGCTGGAGGTCTCCATTGCAATTGGTAGCTTGCTACTGGAGTCATAGACCTGTGACCATAGGACTACCTTAGGATGCTTAGCTCATGTGGTATGTTAGTGTATCTCAGAAACAACTGCGATTCCCTTACTAAAACAATCAGTATTTATTATAGGCTAATAAAGAATATTCCAAGGAATTTATGGATTAAATCAGCCAGTGTCATTAGCTTCCGAAAGCAGCTCTGTCTCCAAAGCCAGACTCAAATTAATTAAATGGACACAGCTGGAATCCAGGACAGTTTACAGCAATGTATCGCCTTCTACTGCTCCCTAGGGATCCCAGTCAGTAGCTTCACATGGAAGCTTTAGTCCATATGCATATGGTCCAAAACAGCAAACCTTTTTCTTGGTGGATTGTAAGAAAAAGAAAGAGTATATTTTAAAGCCATTTGCATGAAAACATTTTCCCTCTGCAGAACAGAACAGCGGTACAGAACAGAACAGCGGTACAGTACATCTCTCCACTTGTATTAAATACAAATTATAGTCTCTAGTTCCAATTTTCCCTGAAGAGATTCTTCAGACTAATGCATTACAGGTGAAAAATCAACTGTTACCATCAACTGAGGCATCAGTATGTCTGTACAATGGATTCACAAACAGAACGATGAAGCCTGAGGCATAAACCTCAAGCAAATTACAGGAAGGCAGCTGTGTTAGATAAACAAGCTGTGTATTTGAAAATGAGAGAAAGAAGAAGACGCAGTGCCAAATTTAGCCCCAGTTTATGTAGTCATATATTTTTTATTGTTGGATTAGAGGCTAACTTGATTTTTAGATTAGCGTTACATTTTTCAGATTTTTAATATCTACTATCTTGAATTATCACAGATAAGCTCATTTAACTGCCCAGAGCCACAGACTGTCTTAAATGTAGCAAAACTTAACTCAGACAGTTAATATCTGATTGTCTGTACTACACACGATTTCAGGAAATCCTTACCTCTGAAGTCGGAACAGTAATTAGTAACATATTAATATAAACTTTCTTAAAATCAGAACTTAGTGTAGCTGGTTTTGCTGCTGGGGTTTTGTTAACAGATTTGTAAACAGTAGTCAATCATCCTCCCCTTGGACTACTGTTCACAGATTTTACCAAACACCAGTAGGTTTTCAGTTGTAGTTTTGAACGTTTTGTCATAAAGCTCACTATTTCTAGCATTAAAAAAATCTGTGTGTTGTCATATTAAGGCAGCAATACCAACAACTGCAGATGAAACATCCAAGTCTAATGGTAAAATGAGATTGGTATTACAACAATTCACATAAACAAGTAAATTGCTTAAATGGTAACATGTACTTTACGTTTAAACTACAATACATTTTTATTAATTGTTTTTAGAAAGAAACAATTTTTTATTATTGTAAGTCCAAACTCCAAATAAAACAATTCCATTTGTCCTTAGAATCTTAAACATAAACATCTTCAAAGAAATAATAAACAAAATAAAAAGAAAATTTAAAAAAAGACAAGAAATTATCTAAATTCTGTATATGTTTTAGTATAGCTACTTAGGGTACTGTGTTAGGTGTTTCAGAAAGAAGTTTGGGACTTCATAAAAATTATGTTATTCCAGCTAGACCTTACACTTGGGGAGCAGTCTATCTGCACCTCTGAACAAAAGGTTATTAAGAGAAGCAGCGTTTCCCATCAATGTTAACCAATTGCAGCTGAGCGATCTACCAGTAA